TGGCCAAAACTTAGTGATGCAATCCGGACAGAACTGACTGGAAATAAACTTCGTCTGGACACCTGACTTATATACCAAAATCAAAGTGACTGGTTTATTCATCAACGCTCCTTCAATCACACTCAACCAATGCACCAGTAGAGGGCGCTATTGACGGGAGACTGTGTGATAATTATACGGAGCATCGAACACCAAAATTATTTGTGGGCATCCAGTGCCGAATCAGAGACTTTAGCAAGTCTATGGGGCTTACTGTCTAGGGCTGCACTACACGCAACTCACGTCACGAGATAGCAATCCTTCCTTATATCGACCGCAAGCTCCTATACCCCACCACCAAAAAGCCCCTCAACGATACACGCACCACTTGGGACACAGGCACAGTCCATTAGACAAGGTGACTTTAACCCTTGCACAGGATTCTCGACTCTTAACTCGGGATCAGCCCTTGATCAGGACCACTAGTAAACTTTGCGCGCTTTTTATAGCTTCGCGAGCCGGCCGCCGCTGCAACTACGCCTGCGCGCGCGCTACATGTGACTAAGCGAAAGCAGTGCTTAACCCCGGGCAAGGCGGAGCCTATGCGCTGTGTTGGCTTAACACACAGCTAAGTGCGACTAACATCTGCCCCTGTTACTGGGCAGATGTTGACAACTATAAATTGACAACTATACACACTATGATTTGCTAATAGGCCAATATTAAGTACCTTTCCAATATGAATTATAAGGGCAATGAGCCCCGAGCTGGACCAAGTGAGGGGCAATTTTCCAAGCAACGCAGGCTTCTTTAGTAGTCACTGAACTTTACTGGTTCACAAATGCCTATGGATTGTACACAGTTCAGTTGCATCGCTACCAACAAAATGAGCACTCATGACCAACACAGCTCTTTTCAACTGATGAGGGGATGCTTGTGCTCGAAATAATTAGAAATATTATCTTAGTAGTGAATAAATAAAGTTCTGCTGAGAAAATACCTTTTCTCACATAGTCAGTACACTGCAGGGAATTCACGTAGTGTACTAGATAGCAGTAAAATTCAGCGTTTTCCAAAAGAATAGCCTATCCAAATGTTACACATCAGATATTTGAGAATGAAACTGTTCTTAAATTTTGATACTCAGAGAATGGAGAAACAATACAGAACTTCAAATGAAATTTTCTTTAAGAAATGGAAATGTGACAAGCTATATTTACCGCATGTGTAGGCTTCTTCCCAGTTACGAAAACAGCAGAGATTTTGTAGATGATGAAAATAGTGAAAAGTTACGGTACAGGTACAGGGCACCCCCTTTAAGAGGAGCAGTCTAGCCAGTCTTAATCAAAACATGATTCTGTGAATTGATACGAGCACTTATCTCTCCTTGTTTTATGGTGAAATCTAAAATATGGGAAAAAGTTGTCTTGCCTTTGATAAACTTCAACATGATAACTACAATGAAAAAGTATTGTACCCGCTCCTGACCTGCCTCATCTTCAGTGGTTGTGTGTAAAGTATTTTGGGTGTCAAGAAAATTGCCAAATTATTCCCTTAAAAAACGTGGAACTTTTTCAGTCCCAGATTCTGGTTCTGGATTTACTCAGTGCCCTGAGCCTCACCACCAAACACATACATGTACGTAGTAAAAGAGGTTGGAGGTTGACCCGTATGTTTGAGATGTAATTCTTGGTCCATTTTTTGTTACATTAGACCTCTTTACAGATGATGTTACACAATGTTTAACGCGTAAATTTTTAAATGGTGCTCAGTTGATCCTGGGCCCCTACTGGTTCCTGAAGTGTGATGTCATTAGATAAGAGCAGTCTTGTGTTAGCATGAACATCAGGCCAGTACAGGGCCGAATTCCAAGGTTATTTCTTGTATTGACCGAACGTGCCTAAGGCCTACCCAGAGCCTATCGAAAAGACTTTAGCTGGACACACTTACCTTTTTTGTTCTGGAAAAATGACAATTTTCTAACCCTTAGCCTACTAAGTGTCCCAATTCCGTGCCCGAAAACTTCTCGCATCGATGTGTAGCTAGGGCCCACAGTAGGACTATGGCTTAGCTAACCGCAGATGAGGCACTGAAGTCGGTAAACGTCATTCTTTTTCACTGTAACTGTGACCATGGAGGGAGGAATTTTTCGTTTTCCACGGTGTCACTTACCAGTTAAATGTTTGCCTACATCCTTTGACCTGCCTATTTTTGCAGTTAACTGTCCAACACGACGGCAAGTTGGATTCTCGTTCACGAAAACTGACCGGGGAAAACTGGGATAAACATGTGGCACGTACCATGTTTAAATTGCCGCTCTGGCCGTCGTTTGGAAGTAGCAATATGGCGGCCAGTTACGTTGACAAGAACAGCCAATGCGCATTCCAGATTTCATTATAGGCATCAGTGGTTTATCCGCACTGACCTGAAGTGCATCCTCGTTGGCGAAAGAAAGACATATTAAGTTTTTCAAGCGGGTTCTAGCACTCGTTCTAGACCACACATTCTAGACTAAAATGGATGCGTTCGATTAGATTCCCTGAATACACCAGTGTTACACACAAGGGAAGCCTCAAAATGAGGGTAATCGAACGCTGCCGTGTACTTGCCAAGGCATTCTGGGAAAAAGGTCAAGTCCCTGCCACTTTCCATCATGTACGTCCATGCACGAACAGTCCATCCGTGACGTCATTACACTCGGGCAGCCTCCAGAGCCCTGCTCACCAGCCGGGGTAGTAGTGGCTGACACCAGAGCAGGCACGATGATCACGTGATGGCTAAACGAACGCTCTCGTGTAAGTTTGACTGACTCGTGTAAACTAATCGAACGCATTCTTTGCTTGCACGTACTTGGCGTGCTCCGCGTCTAACGCATATGAACTTGCGCCTCGGTGCGGTGCGTGAGTACTAAAGGGTTGTCAATTTCATTTCAAAACACGCCCTCCTTTGTTCCTGCTCGGAGTGGATTCATCAATGCCACTTCAACCATACGCACAGCCAATAAACACACAACCAATACACCAGTAGAGGGCGCTCTTATTGGGAGGAGTACTGTGCACTAGACTTTACCCGTAGGAGTGTAGCCCACAAATACTTGTGTGCATCTAGTGCCACCGTGACCTCAATAAGTCAAAAGGGCTCTCTCTTGATATGATGAAACAAATTCTTAATTATGAGGTCTAATGCCAGGTGCAACACGCAAATATGATAAAGTTAAAAAAGTGCCCACCATTCGCAACGGTGAGCCCTTATTAAACTTTGTTTACCTACGTTTTTACAAGTACTACGCAGCAACCCCTGTTGCGCAAGTACATTATTCGCCTGTTTCTTGTCATTTGATTTAGCATCTAAAGCTTTTGCGCACGCCTTTGTGTGAAAAACTAAAAGCTCATTTAGACCCGTTTCAATCTTGTTGAATATAATTCGACTTGACATTTTGTATTCTGCAGCGTAAGCACGACGTTTGAAACCAATTTGGCTCGGCAAATCGATTTCGGCACGACAGAGGATTTTGACTTGACGGGGCCTGCTGTGCTTGTATCATTAAGTACGACTTAAGCATGGCGTGGTTTCGAACATCGAGTTTATACTGCTAAGTCGAATACAATTTTCTTCGAAGTTGGTCGAAAATTTCGTTGATAATTAGGAGTGCGCAGGTTCACACCGTGCATTAGTGTGGGGAGCTGTCCGTGTTTGATCGTGAGTAGAGCACGCCCTCAACCTTTCACCTTAATGTTTATATTGTTGCATGGCAACAATCTTACCACTTTCAAACTTTTCTACGCCTGTATTGGAAACAGTTCTGGTTTCTATGGAATTCCATATCTGCCGTCGCCCGT